TAGTGAAATACGGTTGACACATACCTTAGAATGCTGCGGTGACAGCCTTGGATGTTGCTGCTGATGCTGCTGATGATCAATTGTTCGCTGATTTTCTTCTTTCCTTTTAATTTCTGCTTTATGTTTTTCTAATATTTCATTTTGCCAGGACATCTGAGAGAAACTGGACTGTTGTTTCATATCTGGCATTGTTCTATTTTGGTAGTTTATTTCATTGTGGGGGGAATGTGAACGCCTTGATCTGTCACTAGGATGGCGGTAGTTGCTTTTTAAATACAGCTCTGCTGGTTTATAGTGGCTTGCTTCTTGCTTAGGTTCATTTCTTTGCCCATTTTCAACAAATTTAGTGTTACTATGTAATTCAGCTCCTTTCCGCCTTTCAAGTGTGTTTTGTTTTCCCGAGTACCATTCATTTAGTGAGTTATTTATCTCTTTAACGTTAGGATTCTGGTCATTACCGTGGTATTTCAAACTGTGAATAGAAAATACAGATGTGGTTTCATTAGTCGCATGCATCCATTTCCAAGGAAAAATCAGAAGCAGTTAACTTTTTTATTCCTTTTAAGCACAAAGCTCATTTCAACTCAAAGTATTTTAGAAATATTCAAATTTAATAAATAAACAATTTTCAACTTAAAGATTTCTTTTTTATAGATCGGTTAATTTTATTTTGAGTATTTGTCAATTTGTCAGCATGTTAAGTTGAAGGCACACAAAGTACTTAATAAATGATAGACAGTAGACAAGTTTTGAATTCAGCTATTAACATAGAAACTTGTCGTTTTGGTGTAAATACATTCCAAATACATCTGCATAGGAGGATTGATTTCACCACATAAACGTTTGATAGCTCATCAAAACATCAGGAAGCAGAATAACCAGTGAACAAACTGCGTGAGCTAGATATCACCCCCCCCTCCATTCTTGCACAGAAACTGACTTATGGTGCTATAAACTCAAAGCATGATTAGTCACTGTCTATGGTGATATATCGGCCACAAAAATGACTGAAACATCCATCCATTTTTGTACCAAAACATCCATTCACATTTTTTTCTTCTGATACATGTAGTACCGTAAAATATTTTATTTTAGCGGAAATTAATTTTAGCTGGGTGTTTTGTAAGGAATTTATTCTCACTGATTTTTGGCGACTTTAATGTAAAATACAGGGGAAACAAGCCATGCATGGCACAGTCCCCGTTAGTTATCAAATTTAAGATATATAGTTATATTTATAGTAATATAGTAAAATAGCTGGAATATAAACATCATTTAAATGATTGACATTTGTATCTGATCGTCAAAGAAGTATTGAGAGATATTTCTCAGGAACAGCATTAATTAAAACAAAATCAGCTATTCTGAATACATGTATAATGAATATATAAAATTTGAACATAATCAGCCAAAACATGTCAGAGATATGGGTATCAGTGGGATTTGTTCTTAATTTCTGTCATCTTACCTTGTATCAGTGGGATATTTTCTTAATTCCTGTCATCTTACCTTGTATCAGTGGGATATTTTCTTAACTACTGTCATCTTACCTTGTATCAGTGGGATTTTTTCTTAATTTCTGTCATCTTACCTTGTATCAGTGGGATTTTTTCTTAATTCCTGTCATCTTACCTTGTATCAGTGGGATATTTTCTTAATTTCTGTCATCTTACCTTGTATCACTGGGATATTTTCTTAATTTCTGTCATCTTACCTTGTATCAGTGGGATATTTTCTTAATTTCCGTCATCTTACCTTGTATCAGTGGGATATTTTCTTAATTTCTGTCATCTTACCTTGTATCAGTGGGATATTAATTTCTGTCATCTTACCTTGTATCAGTGGGATTTGTTCTTAATTTCTGTCATCTTACCTTGTATCAGTGGGATATTTTCTTAATTTCGATTGATGCATAGAATTCTGTTGTTGATCCGCTTCATTTATCTGTGCAGGTAATGCCATAGCATTTAACATATGTTCTGAGCTCTACAAATAAAAAACAATAAAACAATCAATTTATTAAAAATTCATTATCATACATCTGGCAGTGAAAATAATTGCATTCAGCTGTTCATACATTTTTGTACAGACTATTTCGAAAATTTGGGTTGTACTTTTGTTACATTTGAACTTTTTGAGTTGTTATACTTTGTATTAGCAGCAAGAAAAAAATTAGAATACTAAGGTAAGACATGTAAGGTAAGATTACTGCAAAATTGAATCAACATCTGATACAATCACTGTACTACCTTCACAAGTATTCTCATAACAATCTCACATTATGAATTTTTCCACTTAGAATTTTATCAAAAATAGATGAGTAAAAATATGTTGTGTTGGTAATTGCTATAATGGGTACAGTCACTACAACTTATCACCATTTGGAGATTATATTAGAGTTCTCTCAGAGCATCACAGAGTAGAAGCCCCAACTCTATGATTTTATCGTAATAATATAAACAATACGGTAACAGTGATTGTGAGTGACACATCACATTGTTATGCAAATTAGCTAGGGAATGCTACTGTCAAAAACTTTTCGCTATTTTCGTTGAAGGAATGTTTCAGTGAAAGTGAAATCCAGCGAATATACCTTTTTCCTACATTTTACATTTAACATGCAAAATCAGTGAAAATAAATCACATACAAAACACTCAAAAAGTCTTTTCAGAAAAAATTAATTCCAGCTAAAATAAAGAATTTGACAGTATTTTCTAGGGGAGAACACTACATATGATATACACATCATTTACAGGATGTGCAAACTCACAGTCTATTTATGAATATTACTACTTACTCTTGGTGAAGAACTGCCTGATGATGCACCATCTAAAAAGCATAAATATAAATGTGAATGTTGTCATATACTTGTAAAGATATAGTGTTACATATAAGGATCCTTATTATCCAAAGATATCTAATCTCTTGTAGACTTTAGACATGTCGAGAGCAAAAGAACCACAGGACACGTTTTTGTCAATTCTCTCCTGTATCATATCTCATGTTCTCCTTACTTTTGTAACACTGGTATTTTGAACAGTAGACAAATTTAGTCATTCTCTTTATCATAATGACATCTTGGCACAATGTGCATTTAAGTTTTATTGAACTGAACTGTTTATGGTCAGCCTACATTTTGAAAACACATAGCAGAAATATATGATATTAGATACATATTTATATTTCATTATTATATCATATTTAAAATACAGACATTCATTGCTTGTAAATTATTTCATTTGGAAATAAAATATTGAGACAATGATCAGCATGGTTTTATTGAATTATCTTGTTATCAAAATATATGCTTTTACTATGCCACCATGCATTATTTATTATCAGCATTATCTTATTAGGCTAAAACAAAAATTGAATCTGTTTCTTGTTGGCATCTGTGTCAGTCCAAAGGCCACATTAAAATATTTTGTAACAAAGGAAAAAACGTATGGCTATGATTGGTGGTGCAATATCAAGATTGAATTTCTTGATGTTTCATGCAATGCATTACCGCATAATTTTTTTAAAAAAGGTTTGAACCAGAAACAGATTTTATATTTATACTATGGCCTTGGCTGATCCTTAAATTTAATGCAGTCACTATGACAACATGTATTTTTGACTGGTTATCAGCCAAGCACAACAAGGGATATGTATTTACTTACCAGGCACAGCAATTTTTAAAGTAACAGAATATCCTGAATCTTTGATAATATTAACAACTTGACTATGATGCATGTCTATTATATTAATTCCATTCACAGCTATCAAGTTATCCCCAACATGTAGTTTTCCACAGCGTTCAGCTGGACTGCTGGTTATGATGCGACCTGTGTGATAACAAACAAAAAGTGTGTGAGTGACAATACAATTATCAGTAACTACCAGTAATTTTAGACAAAGCACAAGTTACAGAACATGACTATAGGTAGTTGGGCAATGTGGATTCTCTGTTTTCTGGAAAAAGTTACAAACCAAGCTGCTCTCTGATTGGTTTGACTGTTAAGTGTTAGGTTTGGGTAGCCAATCAGACAAAGTCTTGTGATTCGTTTCTCATAGACTTCATAAATACTGCATTCAAGTTAGAGATCTCAGCATTTGCCTAGCGTTGGGGCTGAGTCAAACATTCACTGAACGGTAAGGAAAACAGAAGTACCCAATCTGTCTCAATAGAGAACTGAGATCAGAACTCAGCATGTGTTGAGAAATCTATTGTCATCTTTGAATACTAAACACAAGCTGAGTGCAGCTTGAGTATATTCAGATACAGTACAGTTCTCGTGAAAGCTTTTGTGGCAATATTGTCGCCTACGCATGGCTTTATTGTCGCCTCAGCATTGCATCATTGCGCCATCAGCTTCGCGTCATTAAAAATTGAAGCTGTGTTCGGCTAGCTTATTTTGTGGCATTATCATGGCCTCAGCTTGGCAGCCTTATGGCATCAACATGGCATCAGCTTCAAAGTATTGTGACATGAGTATGACCTCATTATTTTCACATGGAAAGGCAGTAGAGAAAAACACATGTACAGAAGTTCGATATGTAATCGATTTGAAATTCAAGACCGTAAGGGGAATAAAATAATATGACCAAGAGTAAAATGACATTTTAAAAAGACATCTTGTTTAATTATTTAATGTTGCGAGTATTGATTACCAAAAACTTTGTGAAGTACATTGCAACCTGCAAGGTGACGAGTGTCATATTGACTGCAAGAAAAAACGTGATAAATTTAAATCACACAATGCAATCGTCGTTTAAATGCAACACAATTTGCTATACGAAATGAAACTGTTCTTGTTATAAAATTACCTTATTTTCGTTCATTTTATTTCCTGGTAAGAGAACAGATTCAGATTCCTCATTAAGGTGGTATTTTTCTGTGTTTCGTTTAGTTTTAGCCGAGTGCGTACATTTCTAACTATGATTGGATGGTTGTTGTGGCGTCGGTCTGGTAAAATTTTACATCCAATTTTCAACATTAAGTCAGGATGAGTGACCTGAGCTCGATCTATACATACTTTAAAAGTATTCTTACAAAAAATATTTTTGAATAAAAACGAGCCACATGCCCTGTAAAAAATCGAATAGCACTTGACATGCAGAAATAAACACAGGGAAGTCCTTCGATACTGAATATCATCGACCC